CTCTTGAGAGGAAGGTACTTGGCATGGACGGAGAAACGGGATCGAAACAACTTCAGGAAATAGGGGAGTCCCTGGGGTGCAATGGCTGATCCGGCCCTGTTGAGCCAGTCATCGACAGGTTTGAGTGCCGGAAGCGCGATACGGTCGACCGCCCTGCCCAGATCGATGAAGAGATCAACGGGAGCCTTGCTGGTCAAGTAGCGGACAGATTGATGGGCCCCTCCTGGGCATCGACGAGGTAAGCTTCCATGTGAGATATTTTACGAAGCCGGTTACAAGCAGCGAGCGACGCAGACTCGAGGGGGGGCAACGACGAAGACGGCTGATATAGCAGCGCGATGAGGGCGAAAACCGCCAGGACAGAGGCGGGTTGGGGCAGCCAAAAAAAAAAAATCTACGTGTGACAAGGCGGCGGGTGCAAGTTGGTGATCTGGAGATGAGAGCCGGAGTCATTGGAGGCAAGGGCCCCAAGGATCTATGGACGACGATGGCTGTGGCCTTCGCTGGTCAACTCGGAGAACTCGACGGGACACCAAGGTTCTCGAGACGGGACTAGAAAGTGGGACAGGATCAGTTGGATGAGAGGGGCATCATCTTCAGTCCGAAGCAACACGGACTCTGAAACCGAGCGGCGAGGCGGCACTTACAGACTGGTCTGAGGAGCAACTGGCTTGTCGAATCGCTTTGCGCAAATCGTCGTGAGCCTTCATGTCAAAGGGTGAGCTCGCGAAGAGCTGGAGCTCGCGCATAAAGATTGGAGCGGCATCATGGAGAAAGGGACGAAGGGCGTCGAGCGATGCAGATGATTCGATGGAATGCCTGGACACAGAAGAATTGAATGATTTGTTCCGAGGAAAACGACGATGGTAGAGCGTCATGCTCACACGGAACCTACGCTTTGATTATTCCAAGCACAAGCTCGGTAACAAAATCGACGCTTTCCGATTCGAGGAGAATCTTCAAGTCCCGCCGAATCCACGGTCTGAGTCGGGCAAGGAGCGGAGGCGACTTCTCCAAAGCCTTGGGGGCTAAATGAGTCATAAAATCGGAGAATGTTTCCAACAATAAGAACATCGGCGGAAGACAGCGACGAGGACAGGGTGATGAGCACATACTCGAGTCGCGAAGCTTGCGACCCGTCGCGGATATGATGTCGGGTGGAGCCATCTCTTTATCGTCATATATGCGTCGTCGATAGCATGACGGGTCGTTGATGGACGACTGGCCATTGATGAGGGTCGGAGGGAATGCATGCGAACGGCCAATAGGAGGACGTCGTGGCCGATAAGGAGAAGATCGAATGCGTGGACGTTCCAGATCCGGAAAGACTTGCTGAAGTGGGGAGAGAGTTGTGAGAAATGAAGCACACGAAAGAACACAGATATGACTGATCCACAGAAGTTGCGAGTTGACGCACCCGAAGATAGGAACTAGAGGACTGGATGTTGTAGAGAATAGCCACAATACTCTGCTTGCAGAGGGGGCAACAGCGCGGCGTTCGTCGGGCCCAAGTGACGATGCAGAAATAGCAGAATGAATCTGAGAACACGGAGGGTTAAACAGATGAAGCCAAAAGACAGTCATGAATGAGACGGAAAAACACTTACGAAAGCAGGGATCGACAAAGGCCAAATTGTCAACCGGATGAAGACAAATGGGACATTCGGCAGGAAATGAAGGTGAGGCATTGGGGACTTCGATCATTGGAATTTCCGCTGTGTGAGCGGAGGAGTCGGACGAATCAAGGGAGGGCAGGGAGGCATACTGTCGGGGAAGGGTGTGGAGCAAGGGAATCGGAGGAGAGGTGCTGGGATACAAGGGCCTCGACTCTGACGACGGAGATGCAGACGGAGATGGAGATATGGATGGAGATATGGATGGAGATGGAGATGGAGATATGGATGGAGATGGAGATGGGATGGAGATGGAGATGGAGATATGGATGGCGAGCCCGACATTATGACCACTGTTGGGAGCAAGATCGATTTTGGAAGTGCAGATGAGAGCGCTGAGACACAGGGACAAGTCTTTGGCAGGAGAAGCGGTCAGAGAAAGCAGGACAGGGATGACCGAAGAGCTCGGCACACGGCGAGGTGATTGCTACAGGATAGCCACCAGACCGATGATGTTTGGGTGAGATTGGGACTCAATCGACATGGTCGCGGTTGAATAAAGACGAGAGGATATGACCACAAGGATACAGATATGCAAGTGTAAAGGCCAAACCAGAGAGAATGGGTCGATGCGAGAGCGACTCCATGTCGGAGATGCCGGCTCGAATAAACTGGGCAAGGCCGGGGATTTGGACAGTGAAAGTTGGCAACGGCAGCCGATCTGGCTAAGACAAAGGGTCGATCCAATGGGCCAAAAGCGATTGCGTACCGACCAAATCTGCTTCAGATTGAAAGGCCAGCAGGCTGGAGCGGGTGTCGGAGGGACGAGCAACGGCAGCCAGAGGAGAGCGACGAAGGGCAAAGATCGACAGGCGGATTGGAGCACCGACAGGTCAGCCCAAACAGGCAAGGGATGAGACGGAGCACAGAGCCCAACGGCGCAGAATCCACGGCTGCTTGCCCGAGGCCGTAGTGGGCCGCGTGGGCCATGCAGCTCAGACCAACAAACTGACAGGATCAAAATTGCCAAGAGTGAAGCATAGACGTGATGTTGGTATGAAGCCGACGAGATGTAGAGAGCAGATCGAGAAATACTCGAAGGCTGACGATCGAAGCGGTGACGGAGCAGTTTGCCGAGATTGAGGCCACAAGCACACCAGCAGACGACAGTACCAACATCACAGGACGGCGCCGGACAGCAGCTCGTTGTGGATAGAGAAGGCTCGAAGCGAGGGGACAAAAACAAAAACAAAAAATGACGATGATCCACAGAAGAGCCAGCACACTGGGATGAGAGTACAAATGACGGACCACGGGAAGGAGAGTGGGAAGCGGGAAATGGAAGCAAAAAAAAGGCTAGCATCGGGAGGTTTCGATCCTCCGACCTCAGGGTTATGAAGCCCCGCGCGCTTCCACTGCGCTACGATGCTGAAGTATTGACGAGAGTGGGATTCGAACCCACGCCTCCGGGGAGATCACGGCCTTAACGTGACGCCTTAGACCAACTCGGCCATCTCGCCTTGATTTCGATCAACAATATATACAATATCATCCCAATTCTATCGATCCAGTTTCCATAGAACCATAGGCTCTGTCACTCATATAACAGCTCAGCCCTATGGCCGCTCCGAACCTGTTTTTATCAATATATTGTATTCTGTCTCTGCGGCCGTATTATATTTATCAGTTCCCCGTGGTTTTCCGCATTTCGACACATTTTTGGACTATTTGAGTGGCCCACGGGGTCCCACCCCCGGAAGATTTGCTGGGTCGGACTGTCCATTCAGCGAGTCCCTATTTCAGGTCGTGAAAATATGTTTCATATTAGTTGGCAGGACTATTAGGGCCTGCTACATGATGAGTTTCTCGCTTTCTAGCTTGTAAATCTTTCCTGGTGTGTATCAGAACAATGGGCCTGACACCTTCGGTCTCGAACTTGATCCGTCAAATAATATTTTCTATGGCTCCCGCTTGGGTCGTTCAAGGCTTCATCCTCATCTATGCAAGCCGGTGCGTGTTATCGGCCGATTTCTACCTCGATTTTGCCGTTGTATCTCTGTTTTAGTGCAGATATGATATAAACTGTGAAATATCCGAGAAAACCTCTGTCCTCGACCATACTGTTCCGATGTATAGTCTGCGTGGAATGGTTTGGTCCGAACTTGATTCAGATTCTCTCCGTTTTGTTCTCAGCGCGAATGAGTACATCGACTGATTTCCGTGCTTGGATAATGACTGTGCATTAGGGGTCAGCATGAATGGTTTGACCGATCGGATTTGTGGGATCCGTGGTCGAATCACTGTCCTTGTAGAAGGTTATGATCATCAAAAATGCGGCGCTCCTGTACTTACATGAACAGGCCAGGCCTCACTTAACGTCACTGTAGTGGAGAACTTTTCAAAGTATGGTGGGTCCTTGATTGCTGCTGATGAAACAGTAATAAATGCAATCTTCCTGTTGTTATGGGCAGTCCACAGTAGTGGTATGGTGCTTCGTGTGATGTCGCGCGGACTATGCGAGACAGCTGGCTCAGGCAGAATGTCTGTGTCCTGGGGAGCCATCCCGTTTCATTTCCGGGATGGCATCGAGGGCAAAGCCAGATCCCGTCATGAATCACGGGAACATGCGATATGTGATTGTTGGGGACTTGACCGAGGTTTCCGATGGCCAAGCCAGCTTGGACATGCTGGGCGCTGCTTCTCTTCGTCCTGACCACCATTCGTTCGGGGTTTTCTGTAACGGACGGGTACGGAGCTGGGACGGGGACGGTGCCTTGGAGCGAGAAGTATATTCAGACGGATGAAAACAGAAGACTCCTCTTGCTGGGCCTGTCCCGGGGAGGGCGGAGAGTGCCCTTTTATAGGCCCAGCCCAGCAAGAGGACGGGCAGTGTCAGCCTGCCGCGCACATGTGGCGGCGTGCCGGCCGTCACATTTTCCATCGATGCAAAAATACGGTGACATCAATAATAGCGCCAAAATATACTCGAGGAACCCAATTTTATGGGTTTAGGGCTGTATGAATGCAGGTCCGTTTGCTTGTCGGCGTGGTGGTCCGGAAAAGAAAAAGAATATAGACCTCCCATTAGGGGGGGGGGCGGAAACTCGGATTTGTTCCGGTGACCATGTGCCCCAAATATGCTTACTAGCAGCCTCCATAATTTTCAGGTAATGTTTACTTGGACTAAATCAATATCTGGAAGCTGGCGCGCAGCGCCCTCGATTCCGCGTTCAAATTTAATTTGATAATATAGCTTAAGCCTATTCGCGCCAAAATAACACAGAAGTACCGTAATCCTTTCGCGTTTTTAAAGCCATTAACCATGCTGGGGGGACGTTACCCTGTTGATCTGGATTATCCTGAGTGGTTCCCAATATAAAATGACAATTAAAGGATCGGGTTACGCGTGAATACCTTGAAGTTGTACTTTGAAGCTTCATGAGCCGTGCGCGGTGGAGTAATGCGCCTCGAGCATAGTCCCATCATCCTGACGAGTCCACTCAATCTCATAGCAATCTGGTACCAGAGTACCTTAAAATACCACCGATACTACAAACTGAAGATGCGTTTGAGTCTGCGATTCTCCCACGCTTGATCAGCCTGACTGGGTATTTCTTGGGTCACGGGTTGATCAAAGATCGGCTGGCAATATCTTGTCTAGCTCGAGCATCATCGCTCCGATGGGTTGATGCGACACCTGTTCATAGAAGACTATTCTGTCGAATATGGAAAACCCAAGTAACCTGAACAACAGATTGATATATAAAACATATTGAGATTGGACCGAGTGCTGAACCAGTCGACATTCAGCTCAAGCTTTGACGACTTTGGTCGAAGCCTTACTCCCAAAGCAGCCTGTCACTAGCCTAGATAACACAACAGCGCGTGGTTAAATGATTGTGTAGGGCACTGAAAAATATAATGTAGGAGTAGTGATTGCCAGATTATAGACATAGGCCGAACGCATTAAAAACAGAGGTACGATGTGCTTGCTAGGCTGATTCTCTACGTATTCTGATTAGGAACTAATTCGATCGCGCGATCGCAATCTTGAGCCTCCACAACTTCGATATTTATCGAGTCTATCAATTTTTTGATGTCAAAAATCTAATGAATAACTGGGCAAGTCATTTCATTCACTGTCAGCTCGACTGACCGATTTTTAAGCCATATTGATAGTTCGGGAACTATTTTTTGTTTTCATGAAGGTATTGCTGCGAATATTTTCCCGGCTGCTCATCTGCCCCGGTGGAGTTCGCGGTCAGCAAACGGAATCAAAACGAAAATATGATTAGATAAAGCATCTATAAAATATCTGATGAATGATGAGATAGTCAGAATATGTCGATGTCCATATTCAAAAACATATGATTTGCTGTTCGGTTCGGAAGCGTACTTCATCGTCCAGTCGTCAAATTCTGAATAATTACAATATGGGGTGTCTGAATGAGGATTTTTATTAAACCCATCCCAGGACAGCAAAAGTATCGATAAAATTGATGCAATCGAGTAGTGGAAGAGAAAAATAGCAAAAAAGGCTAGCATCGGGAGGTTTCGATCCTCCGACCTCAGGGTTATGAGCCCCGCGCGCTTCCACTGCGCTACGATGCTGAAGCAAGTGACGAGAGTGGGATTCGAACCCACGCCTCCGGAGAGATCACGGCCTTAACGTGACGCCTTAGACCAACTCGGCCATCTCGCCTTGAGATCGTTTAAAAAAATTAAAAATATAAACTATTTGATAATACCAGATCAAGCCTCCCCCGATCACACATTTGCTTTCGCTGTCGTGCACAAGTCGTTGGGGTCTCACAAACTGTAGACCCCAGTATTTCATTCTAAGCAAATATTATAAAATGTTACAGATTATCGCAGCAAATTCCTCAGAGTGTTTTCTATGGCTTACATAGAACCGATGTTGCTGTGATGAGGCTTCTGCATCCATATTACGTAATTTATTAATAGTATATTTATTTTCATATTCCCAAAGGGCGGAAGCAAGTATGCAAGCCATCAATGTCTACGTGACACTTGAGAAATCAATTTTTCGATGGAACTAACTTCGGTAGCCACATAGAGAGCTTACAGGCATCTCCACAGGAAGGTTTCTGGCTCACGCCAGATTCAGCTGAGTTATTCTGAACAAAGAATTGAACTTGGTTCCCAGAGCTTTCGCTACTGGGTGGGTGTGGCTTAATCCCTATTACGTGTGTGTGTATAGAAGTTTTTATGCGGATAAAAAGAATCTCTCGCATAATAAAAAATATACCAACAGAAAGTACATACATAGAGCACACATTGTTTCTGTATTCCTCCTGTACATACTATTCTCAGCATCAGGACAAGAACAGGCGTTCCCATCAAAAAGGCAATGACTATGCGCCTCTACGAAAAGGAAGGAAATCAAGCAAGGTAATGTCGATCGCAGGCACCTACAAATGGGATGGAGACCCTGTCCTGACCGCGCGGATGCCAGTGATATCAGCCGCTCAAGCCCGAAGAATGTTCCTCTGGCGGGTCAGAGGTTTCCCTCCCAAACCTGGTGGAGCGCGCATAAAGCCTGGACCCAATAGTCCCAAAGTCCCCGTGAACAGGAAACATGCGTCGGAATGTGTCCGAGCCAAGAACCGTCTCGAGCAGTATGTACACCCTGCGAGGATCTCCGAAGGCGTCACTTACATCGGGCTTGCAACCGGCGCACTCCCCAAACTGGCTCAAGTGCCCGCAAGACCAGTCACCATCGACCAGGAAAACTGAGCAAATGGTGTGCCAGTCGCGAACGAATCCTCAACAACAGACCAGCGATCTGGCTGAATGTCGTGGCGGTGTTGGGTGACATCGCAGCTCAGTGTCTGTTGTGGACGCCAATCATTCGTATGCGCCAATCGGTCGTATGAGCCATGCACGACAATAGGGGCCTGAGGAAACAGTTTCACAGGCATATGTCAGCACATGTCAGCACATGGAGGTCGGAGCTGCAGATTCCAAACTGTCACTGGATGGATGAGTTAGGCAAAGCTTGACATCGCCGCCCCTCCGCAAACAGCTCCCCAAGAGACAGGGAGCTGCAGTGGTGGTTGTAAAATGTCCTGGTTAGTAAGACCAACACCCAGTGCCAGAGCCCGCCAGGGACGCTAAGGCAAGTCTTAATAAAGACCCACCCATTGACTATTCTCAGCATCAGATTCCGAATCTAATTTCTCAAGCAGGGTCGAAATGTAGTAATGCCAAAAGTAGTTTAAACGTCCTCGCCAAGCGTTAATTGGCTAGTTAATTTGAAAAGTAAAATAAAAGATACAAGCTGACCATGAAAGAGGAACTCGATTGGTGTGGAGAAATGCGGGTAAATTGTAATAATTTTGGGCAATGTGTGGAAAGTCGCTGTTTCACTATCCAGCCTGGTGAGTTATATTACATAAGCTTCCCGATA